TTTAAAAAAAAAAAAAAAAAGCAAGGAAAACAAAAATAACAATTTAGATTACCTTGTCAATTTCCACATCAAAAAGTTGATTTAATCCTACCACATAAACGTTCATTAAAAGAGAAGGAATTAAGGCCTACATGAGTACAACAAACAGTAAGTTAATACAATTAAGAAAAACAAAAATGACATTTAGCCATTTTTTCATAGATACATTAACCATCTTCCTTTTGTAAATCTTAACAGAAGTGTTTTTTTTATATAGTTTTTATAATAACATACGAAAAGTAAAGTCGGGAAAAAAGGGGCAATTGCACAAAAAGTCATTCACATGGATGTTATTTAGAGATTGACGCGTACTTATTTTGTCCTACAACTTCAGGACAATTCAGGATATTTTTGTCCGGAAAATTTGAACTGAAAAACTGAAATTTTGGAAGTACTGACTAATTCTTAAATAGCGGCTCTTTAGAGTGGCTACCTGTTGTCATTTCTATAAAAAAAAAAATCCATTTTACGTAGAAAATGTAATTATCTTATGCCCAAACCAAAAAGAACCAAGTCTTACCTTCAATAGTCCCACAAAAAATGTGGGAGAAATATCTGCTAACGATTTTATTGGGAGAATAGAAACTGAACTGATCCCTATTATCTGGGAAATTAAAAAATAACATCAACACCAATATAAATGTAAACAATCAAGAACGTAAATAGAATTGGAGTACCATTTTTTCCTCAAAAAAAGGCTGAAAATAAAAAGGCAAATTAAGTAACTTACTGTTCCAAATATAGTGTGCGGTCGAAAAAATTGGTATAATGCATTCAATTGCTTCCAAAAACCATCTTTAGAGGAGATTTCACAGTGTTCTGACGAGGCTGCAACTATGTAACTTTTTGATATATTATGGCTTTTGAATATTTTGTCACTTGTATATTTCCTTGTGTTTATCCTGTCAATTGAGCTTGCAAATTTTGGGAAGGACAATCTCCTTTTATGAATAATCCTAGCATTTTCCACTTTTTCTGATGCCCCTTCAAGTCCTATATATATACACATAAATAATTGGAACGGATGAATTATTAGACCTCATTCGGTCAAGCTCCGTATCAAAATCAGTATCGTCACTAACATCAAGATTGTCACTAAAGTTGGAGGTGAAAAGACGGAAAATGAGACAATTTAAATTCACGGACTAAAGTCATTTCTCTCGAGCCTCTCTTCACTAATTCATTCAAGAAAACAATAAAATTGATGGAAAATGAAGTGTAAAATAGCAAAAATATTTATATAAAAAATCCTTTGAAGTGTATGGTGAAGAATTTTAAAAATTGACCATTCAATCTTATGAATTAATCGAGATCGAAATTGATAAAAAGAGATAGAGATATGTACCCTTTCTGAGTGATGGAAATTGACAAGAGCAAGCATGTAAATGGAGCATTCTTGTGATTCTTTAAACCCTTTCTCCAAACAAAGCACAAAAATTAAACCCACACACCAATCACCGAAAATTGAAAAAATAACGTTGGAAAGTCCTCCATATATATATATATATA